CCTCAGTGATAAGAGAAGGAAAGCACAGTGAGCACAAGAAAGATGGATTGGAAGAGCAGCTCCTGAACCTCACAACCTGCCTCATCATATTTTCTTTCCTGTGCAGGATGAAATCCTATTCCTCTCCTTTGGGGAGCTTATCCGAGAACACCAGTGCTCACTAACTAGAGCTGCTAAAATGCTTTCTGGATCCCCAAATATTGTGATACTAAATGATCTTCTATTAATTCTCATCTCCTCAAAAGCTTTTATGTTGGAGGCTGAGAATATAGCTTAGTGGTAGAATGTCTGCCTAGCATGCACACGAAAGTTCAATTCCCAGCATTGCAAAATAAAATCTCTACTTTGTGAGTACTCATTAATACAAAAAAGAACTATGATTACTCCTACTTTATAGATGAAATTGAAGGCACAGATACACTGAGTGATAGTGAGTGATAATAAGTGTTAGTATGTGGATTCTTGTCATCTAATGCCAATGTTTGTGTTCCTTCACTATAACTGAAATGAAAAGGAAAGGAAAAAAGAGCACGTCATACAAGAAAATTTTTTGCTCTGAAAGTCTGAGCAAACTATTAATTGCTGTAACATTTTCACTCTATTTTCTATAGATAAAAAGTTACTAACTTCCTACAACTACTAATATCCCATATAAACATTACATAGCAACTTTGTAGAATCATAAGCCCTGTAACCTTGAACAAGTCACTTTACCTCCTAAATCCTTACTTTTTCAACTATAATGAAAATTGTAATGTTTACCTAATTGGACTGAGTTAGGAATTAAAGACATATTACTGTAGAACTTATTTCACCTGCTACATAATTAGCAAAAGTGACACAAGGGATGGCAGCAACTGATCACTGGGCTAAATGAAATCTCTCTTATAAAGGGAGAGAACTGATGAAGTTTGTCCTTTAGCTAAATTCAGACTAGATCAGGGAAGAAGCATTGTTCTCAAATAAATAAATATGTGTGTGTATGTATATATTTACAAACACACACAAACATATATGTGCATCTACATATAAACCTACAGTAAACTGAAAGTTGCACTTTGTAGACAGTCTTATGATACCAAAGAAGACACCTATTTTTTGCTGAGCAAACCTGAGTTTTATTTCCCATGAATGAGAGGTTGAACTAACAGGAAAAGGGGAGGGAGGGGGATAGAAACAGGCCCTTAAATAAAAGTCTAGCTGGTTTTATCACTATTAACACAGTAAAGTTTTATATCTAGGTACCCAGACTCCTAAATTAAATGTCAAATACAATCCTGTACTGAGAATGAGAAGCATGGCTGCTATGGGAGAGCCCTGACAGCTCCACTCCCCTCTCCTGTTAGCTGCATAATCAGCCCTTCAAGCTTTTGGCAGAGTATATTATCAAGTCTTCTGTCAGTACAGAGAGGAGCTGGAACAGGGAGAAAAGGACAACATGTTAATTTTATTAAGTATTTAAAGCTCAATTCCTTTGCTTTCTAAAACAATGCTCCAGCATACCAGGCAACTCAAAAACCATGCGTGCTTTAGTTTTAAGATGCCTACAGTCAATGAAACCGGTGGTTCAATAAGGAGCCTGGGGCCCCCAAAAGGAAGAACAGTGAATGGGTAAAGTTGCAGTGAAAAGGAAAACAGGAAGCAGAAAGGAGACAAAGACTCTCAATGGTATTTACTTTAAAGTAAGGATGTATCTCCTAACATCTCTCTTAGAGGTGACTTATTTATTTTAATTTGGCACCAGGCAGTTTTGCTATCTGGAGTGTTTGCTCTATAATAATAAACATAATTGCTTCTTGTTTTTATTGATAATATATGAACTCATAGCTGCATACTTCCAAGACAGATACATCTGCCTTGACTTACACAAACAATAGAGCTATGCTGAATTAATGCCAATTACTTGAAGGAGGTAAGGCCCAGAAAGCAAGCAATCAAGCAAGCAAGCAAGCAAGCCAGCCAGCCATTGAGCTAATCATCCAGCCATTGAGCTAATCATCCAGCCACACCAAGGGAACCCAACTGTGGAGGTTCAACTCAATTTATTTGTATGTCATTATCACTCAAGAGGTATCAATGGCCTTTTAAAACCCATAATCTATAAATGTCACTAATCCTGCGAAGTGTTAATTGATCAAAGTATAGAATCTAGTTATTTACAAACAAGCAGTTTCTTAGGAAGGCTTGAAGGGTCTCCTGAACTTTGTAGCAGAGGTACTGCCCCCATATTTCCTTCTCCTTCTGCTAGAAGTAGTGGTGGTTCTGAGGACTAGGAGAGGGTAGCAAGAAGTGACTATTTACAGAATACTGTGCTAAGCACCCAACATGGATCATTTCATGTAAAAGTCTAACAACCTATGAAGTAAGTACTACAATCCCCTATTGTGTAGATGAAAAGGCAAAAGCTTGAGAAATGGAGTTGAGCACAGAATGTGCCCAAAGCTGCAGAGCTGTCAATGCTGGAGTTGATGGGGTGGCGTTAGGGTCTGATTCCAGAGCCTGAGCTTTCTAATAACTGCAATACACTACCTCTTTTTGCCAGAGGCTAACACCAGGTTTCTGACCCTCATCTTTGTTGAGAAGAAAAGAAAAAGCTACTCTCCACTGTTGATACTTCAAGTGAAGGGTCAAAAAAAGTGATTCAGGTAGTATTTTCCTTTTCATTCAATGGCTTGAGATATAATTCACATATCTTATAATTCACCTCCTTAAAGTATATAATTCAGTAGTTTTTAGTATATTCCCAGATCTGTATAAGCATCACAATCAATTTTAGAGCATTTCCACCATCCCCAAAGAAAACTTGCACCCATTAACAGTCACCCACTCCCTTCCCCTCAATCATAAACACTTTGTCTATTTTTATCTCTATAAATAATTTGCCTAATATGGACATTTCATATGAAGTGTAATCATATAAATTCCATCTTTTAGAAACAGCTTCTTTCACTTATCTATGGGATTCAGGACATGATAACCCCCTAAATATGACCACAGGAGACCAGTATATGCCATCACAAAATATGCCTCATTAGTGCTATTTGGACCTGATTTTTTTTACACAAGGAAAATTACCCTTTTGTAAGGGAGGTTTACACCTATAAAGWAAATCTCTACTTGTAAACGTGCCTCCCTGTGTGTACCAGAAAGAGAATGATGACCCTAAATAATCAGAAACAACTTAAATATGCATAACATACTGATCCTTGTTTACCAAGTTTTCCTGAGCATTCTCCCATAACCAGCCTTCCCTCTATGGTATTTAAGCATGAACTCAAGGCACTTCTTTGGGATTTCCTTTTTTCCTGGACATTGGTTCTACATGTTAATAAAATTCTGGTTTTTGATAATCTTTCTTTGTTAAAAAGGTCCATCCCAATTAAGAACTCTGATGGTTAGAGGAAAATTATGTTTTCTTCTCTACACCGTATTTCCAAAGGTCATCCATGTTGTAGCATCTATCAGTATTATTTATTATATATATATATATATATTTATTTATTTATTTTAGTTGTAGATAGACAAAATGCCTTTATTTTTTAAAATTTTTATGTTGTGCTAAGGTTTGAACCCAGTGCCTCACACATGCCAGTGCTCCATCACTGAGCCACAACCCCAGCCCCAGTACTGTTTTTATCACCAAATAATACTCCATTGTATAGATAGATCACATTTTGCTTATCCATTCACCAACTGATGGATATGTGGGCAGTTTCTATTTTCTGGAGAGAATGACTAATGTTGCCATGAACACTGGTATGTACATTTTTATGTAAACCTGTTTTCATTTCTCTTGGGTATATACACAAGATTAGCTGGGTCATATGGTAAGTCCATGCATAATTTAAAAAAAAAAAAAAAATATATATATATATATATATATATATATATATATATATATTTAGTTGTTGATGGACCTTTATTTATTTATTTTTTTTAATGTGGTGATGGGGATGGAACCCAGTGCCTCACACATGCTAGGCAAGTGCTCTACCACTGAGCTACAACCCCAGATCCTTATTTAACTTTTTGAGGAACGGCTTTTCCAAAATGACTGCACCATTTCATATTTCCACCATAAATATATGAGGGTTCCAATTTTTCTACATCCTCACTCTTACCAAGAAAACTGTAGAGCTGTAGCCCTGAAAACTGTCAACCTGATCTGGCTTTCTTACACTTTTGGCTTTCCCCCTGTTGGTATTTCCATTTCCTCATTTGTCAAGTGGTAGGACTAGGGCAGGTGGCCTCAGCTTTCCAACTGAGTTGGATTCAGTCACCATATGTAAGATATATTGAACAGTGGGAAGGCTGATGCTATGAAATTGGTAGTTAGGACTGGTTACAGGACTAGGAATACAATTTTATAATAACAGTTTCCACTGTGCCTGAATTACTTTAGACCATTATTGCCAAGTCTACCAACAAAACAAACAAAAAACTCTCACAGAATTTGCTTGTGACATTAAGAAAAAAACAGAAATGCCTTGTTAAGTAAAAATTTCCATTTATCAGTAATGGCAGATTGGCCTTCAGGATTCTAGTTTTCTAACAGGGCTCAAAGATGGATGGAAATAGATTCAGATTATTAAAATGTATGCGTCTATAAGGAATGCTATTAGATTACAAAAGCAGATTTGAGGAATAAATAAAACCATATATGTGTTTTATGGTTTATAATATAGTTTATAATACAATTATTAAATAATACAATTTTCAGTCTGAAAGGCAAAGTAGCATAATATTATCCCATTTTTCACATATTTCTCAAAATGGGGTCACTGATCATGAGCATCACTATCATCTAACATCTCAAAACTACTGAATTATGTGCTCTAGTTGAGGTTCAAGAATCTACATTAAAAAACTCAAAGTCTATAAACTGCAGCAGGTTGCAGAAGAACAGGTGCTTTTTTTCTCTTTACAATTATCTGTATTTTCCACATTTTTCCATAGAAAATGTATATTATTTTTATAACTAAAGGATAGCAAGAGAGAGAAATTGTTTGGTTTTGTGTTGATAAAGGACTAGGAATGGGAAAGGTGAGAAAAGAGCTGTTTCTCCTCTTTCTGATGCCCAGGTGTCTATAAAAGATGAAAAGGTGCCACATTTGCTTCTGGGTAATTTCATGCCTCAGAGCCTAGATTGGACATAAGAAAGCCTGAATATTTTCCCCAAATGGTGTCCTTCATCCATCAGGTCAAACTGTTGAAGCACTTGCTTCTGTTTTTCATTTAACCAGGGTTAAATTCTCTAGGCGTTATTGTTCTTTTGCCATCTTCCCATGTTTTCTGTTGGAAAAGGCCATTCACCAGTCCTTGTGCTCTGGAATAAAGGAAGTTATAGCTGAAAGATTCCAGTAAAGCAAAGTAAAAGAAGAGTGTGAGGTAAAAATAAATTGCAAAAGGCGGTATCACTAGGAATGGCAGGCTATATGTATGTATGTCTGCTTGTTCACAGATTCAGCCCCTGTATGGGGGTGAAGAACATGTAATAGGACAAATCTGAAGCTAAGTTCTAATCTCACCACTTACGGGCAAGCTACTGAACCCCTTTAAGTTTCAGACTGCTCATCCATAAAACAGGACAAATTTTTATTTTCATAAGGTTGTTGTAATACATAATGCAGAATAAGCATTACAGATACAAGATAAACACATGTTCTCCAAGATTCTCTCCATATGATTTTTTTTTTTTTTACCAAAAGCACAGAAATAGGTCAAAAGTTCTAATAACCCTAAACCAAAGGAACACTGTTAAATGTAACTATTACTTAGCCATCTCAATCCTTTGCTTCAGTTAGTTGAATAAACACTGCTCCAGTCAATGTTCCTGTCTTAATGGCAGGAAAGAAGCAGGATGAAGCCTAGCTTGGCCCTGTGAATAACAAAGAATATGAACACTAACAAGGATTCAAATTAGGTTTTGTTTATATTCATTATCATTTGTAGATGCAAAACCTATAATTTTTGACATTCTGATTAGTATAGAAGAGTGAAGTCCTGGGCTAGATAATGCCAATATCATCAATAAATGAAAAATGATTATAAAGTTATTTTGAAATTACAAATGCCATATAAATGTTAAATAAAAATAATAAAGAAAGAAAACCTTTCTCAGATCTTTTTAAGTAATTTCATGTTGCTAGATAGTTCCTTGGTTTCATACTTCAGTAAGAACACCTCTAGAAGCTGGAGACAACAACAACAACAACAACAACAACAACAACAACAACAAAACTGCTATATTTTAGGCAGTCTTAGTATGACTAGATCCCATGTTCAATCCCACTCCAGTCAGAAAGAACAATGTAATCCACTTGGATGGAGTTTTAAGATGCTTCTTTTTTTTTTGAAAATGATTTCTTATAAGGTTGTATGAATCTGAGACAACTGTGTATGTTTGCTTCAAGTTATAGGAAACAACAGCACATTTTGGAGGAAGAAAAAGCAATCAATATATGGAAATAACATAGCAGCTGATATTAACTGCATAATAAGAGGTTAGTCTGATTAAACTTAGCATGTTATGTTTTTGGTTCAATGATTTCTGAGAACTGGGCAAGGGAAAGGATGGGGAGGGAATCAATGTGTTTTCAGAACATTGGTTTCCTCTGATAAACTATGAAAGATAATGGTCAGGAAAGCTGTGACCTTACATTTCTTAAAACTCCAGACGTGTACACACATACAACCAAAACTAAATCTCTAATTTCCCTAAAGCTTAGCATAAACCTAAGAAATCTACAGATAAAAAGTCTGCCTTACAAAGGGATGCAGTGGCATGCACCTATAATCCCAAGGACTTGGGAGGCTGAGTCAGGAGGATCCCAAATTCCAGGCTAACCTCAGCAACTTACAGAGGCCCCATCTCAAAAAAATAAATAAAAAGCGCTGGGGATATAGTTCAGTATAACACCCCAAGGTTCAATCCCTAGTACCCCCTCCCTGCCAAAAACACAGTCTTATACAATAGATGTTTCTGAAAGTTTGGGTAGAAACAAAAGTTTTTGTAAACTGAATCATGTCAAATATATTTGGATGGTTTGCTATTTAAAAGACTACTTCCTAGTAATCCTTTTTTAAAAACTAATGAYTGTTACTAAAAGTAATGAAGGAGATTCTAGATGGCCTAGAGATATACCCCTTTAGAAAGGGCTCCAATAACATACTTGCACATGACTTCACTGGTCCTTTGCCCATTACTCAACCACCATTAGTGGTTGGGATTTGATGTTTCCTGATATTCCTTTGATTTCAGGGGACTCAGTCTACTTCCAAATCATGACATAGACTTTGATCATCCTCCTAAATCCTGACCAGAACCCATTCCCTCTTTTTGGCTTTGCTAGTCTTTTGAAAATAATGGTTTAAAGTAATCCTGTCCTCTTAGGCAGGCTGAGCTGACTTTTCAATCCATTTCCCTTTCCCATTAACTATTCTTTTGATATCTCTGCTAGATTTGTTTCATAAGACTAAATTTTTATGTATTTCATTTTCTTGTAAATCAGTCTTATCCAGGTTCTGACTACTTGTTGAATGGAGTTTAAAAGGAAATCAAAATAAGAATGAAGGAATATAGCCAATGTCCAGCAGAATAGTTCCCAAAGTGTGGTCCCTGAACCCACAATATCAGCATTGCCTGGGGCCACAACAGAAATGAAAATTCTCTAGCCAGCCCAGATTATGGGAATCAAAAACTCTGGGAATGGGCTCAACACTTCTGTACTGTAATAAACCCTCTGGTGATTTTCGTACATACCAAACTTTAAGAACCACTGGTCTGGAATAAATGAAGAGTATGACAACTGTTTAGGATAAAGTGAGGTATCTCAATAAGAAGAATTAAGTCTATATTACTGATACAGAAGAATGTTTAAGATATTATGCATAATGTAAAATGCAATCACAAATTTACAGGTACAGTATGACCTTTGTAAAAAAAATTTAAAAAGGAAAAATGTCTACAAGATTATAGACCAAATTGTTAATGTGCTTAACTTGAAGGGAATTAATTTTACTTTTCCTTTAGGAATATTTGTATATTTTCATCTATAAGCATATATTGTTTTATAATTTTAAAAAAATGTCTAATCTAGGCATCTACCACTACTCTATGGAAAAACTCTAAGTTAAAAATTAACTCAACCCCCAGCAGACTTCAGTGTCTGGACTAATCAAGCTCTGTGATGCTTTAGGCAATTTTAAAGGAAGTGATAGGGAATGCTCAGTCCTCCATGACTCAATCAGTGTTTCTATGTAATAAAGCCACTACACCTAGGAAATAATAGGACATAAAACCTGAGAGATTCTTTCCTTCTTAAATAGGCCAACTCAAAAAGGGTATGATAGGATGCTATGGGAAAACAGAACAGACCAAAAACTTAAGGGTTCTCTTAGAAGACACCAATTTATTTCCTGGGAAAATTTCATTGTTATAGAAATTATATACTTAACTGTCCTATTTTTTTACCCTCCTTCCTGACCTGACAGTCATTCTGCAATTAGGTTCACCTTTCTTCAAGCTGGCTTCAAGTACATAAAGCACATATGTGACAGACTAAGAAGAGTCTTAAAGGTAAAAGGCTGGTATGTGTGTACACACATATCTAAGATCAAATCAGGTGCTTAAACTATCCATTAGCTTATGGTGCACCACAGGGAATCTCTGAGGCTTCCACAGATTTCTCTCATCCTTCTACTTAATCATTTCAATGCTGGCAAGTGGGCCATTAGAAGCACTACATGTATTCATGAAGGAAGCTAGAGTACTTTATCTATATCATCTTTCCCTCTTCACTACCCTGCTAATTATAAGCACATGGGTGTGGCAAAAACAGAAAATATACCTCTCTCAGCATAATGGTTCCCTCAGAATCCAGAGAAACACGTAAGAAAGGCTTTCAGTGAGCTTTAAAAATTAATTGGTTAAGTCTGGCGTGGTGGCGCACGCCTGTAATTCCAGTGGCTTGAGAGTCCAAGGCCGAAGAATCACAAGTTCAAAGCCAGTCTAAGCAACTTTGCAAGATCCTAACAACTCGGTGAAACCCTGTCTCAAAATAAAATATAAAAATATGAAAAAGGGTTGGGGATGTGGCTTGGTGATAAAGTGCCCCTGGGTTCAATCAAAAGAAAGAAAGGGAAGGAGGGAAGGAGGGAAGGAAGGAAAGAAGGAAGGAAGGAAGGAAAAGAAAGAAAGAAASAAACAAACAAACAAAACAATTAATTGGTTCATGTTCACTAAAGAAAAAACTATTTACAATACCTGCCCTTGAACACTGAGTTATTAGGAGAGTTGATAAAGTTTACTTAAATTTTTCTCTGTCAAAATATTCACTACTTCCAGAACCTTAACTACACCAGAAGACAAAAGATAGTATTAATGCCCCAATACTTTCAATGGCATATGAAAACAGAATTATTGTCTACGGCCATACCACCCTGAACGCGTCCGATCTCGTCTGAAAACAGAATAATTTTGTAGACTGGTGGCCACAGCTGCCTTCTGAAGATCCTGTCACTGTCTCTGTCTCATATCGTGTTTTAGCTTAGAAAAAAAAGGCACAATGTGAGTAAATACGAGAAGAGAGACAAAACCTAGTGTTTAGTTTGTGGCATACCATAAAACAAAGAATACAAGCATGGAGTCAGAATTTGAATTTCACCTCTACATTATACCACAATTGGGGCAAATGACTCCACCTCTCTAAGCCTCAGTGTCCTTATCGACAAAACAGGGATAATAACTATTTTACAGGGTTGTTGCACTAATCTAAAGTATATAAGGGGGGCTGGGGGTGTAGCTCAGTGGTACAGTGCTTACCTAGCACATGTGAGGCACTGGGTTCCATCCTTAGCACACAGAAAAATAAACAAATAAAATAAAGGCATTCTGTCCATCTACAAGTACAAAAAAAWTTTTTTTTTAAAGTATGTAAGGGAAAAGGGGAATGAGAAATTAGTGTTTAATGGGCTCAGAGTTTCAGTTTGGGATAATAAAAAGATACTGGAGACAGACAATGATGATGGATGCATAACAATGTAAATGTACTTAATGCCACTGAACTGTACACTTAAAATGATTAAAATTTTGTGATTGCTGCTGCCTGGCGGTCTTCTTTCTGGGCTGCTGCAGAAGCCAATGCTGTGCCTGAAGGTCTCTTCTCTGGGCACTGCCTTGGTAATCACAGATGTGATTTCCCAGGCTACCTCCATGGTCACTGTCGCTGAAATGAGTCTCCTGTCAATCATGGCTGCCTCTGATTCCGCTGCTGCCAGCCTGAGATCACGTGGAGGTCTTCTTTCTGGGTGCTGTTGCCACAGAAG